GCTTTTCTGTTCCTGTGTTAGTTTGGCTAAGGATAATGGCCTCCAGCTCCATCCACGTCCCTGAAAGAACATGATCTAATTCTTTTTTATGGCTGCATAGTATTCCATGGTGTTATATGTACCACATTTTCTTTATCCAGTCTATCACTGATGGGCATTTAGGTTGATTCCATGCCTTTGCTATTGTGAATAGTGCTGCAGTGAACATACGTGTGCATGTGTCTTTATAACAGAATGATTTAATGAAATGTAAATTGTTCTATTATAAAATTTTTTAATAAATAAAAATAGCCCTAAAATAATAGTAAATATATATATATATATATATATATATATATATATATATTTTTTTTTTTGAGACAGAGTTTCACTCTTGTTACCCAGGCTGGAGTGCAATAGCGCGATCTCAGCTCACCGCAACCTCCGCCTCCTGGGTTCAGGCAATCCTCCTGCCTCAGCCTCCTGAGTAGCTGGGATTACAGGCACGCGCCACCATGCCCAGCTGATTTTTTGTAGTTTTAGTAGAGACGGGGTTTCACCATGTTGACCAGGATGGTCTCGATCTCTTGCCCTCGTGATCCACCTGCCTCGGCCTCCCAAAGTGCTGGGATTACAGGCGTGAGCCACCGCGCCCGGCCAATATTTTTATTTATTAAAAAATTTTATACTGTGAAGGTATAGCATTTTATAGTATAAATTTTCATTTATTAAAAAATTTTATACTATAAAGGTATAGTACTAAAAATAGTGTGGTAATGGTGAAAGAACAGATAAATAGGTCAATGGAGCAGAAGAGACAGCCCAGAAATAGAACCTCATAACTACAGTCAACTGGTCTTTGACAAAGCAGCAAAGGCAATCAATGGAGCAAAGATAGTCTTTTCAATAAATGGTGCTGAAATAAATGGACATCTACAAGCAAAAAAAACCTCCAGACACAGACCTTATACTCTTCACAAAAACTAACTCAAAACAGATCAAAAACCCAAACGAAGAATGAGAAAAATACAAACCTCCCAGAAGTTAACACGAGAAAATCTAGGTGACCTTAGGTATACTTATGACTCTTTAGATATAACACCCAAGGTATAAACCATGAAAGAAAGAATTGATAAGCTAGGCTTCATTAAAATTTATAACTTCTGCTCTGCAAAAGACATATAAAGAGAATGAGAAAGCAAGACACAGACTGGGAGAAAATATTTACAAAAGACACAACTGATAAAGGACTGTCATCTGAATCACACAAAAAACTCTTAACATCAACAGCAAGGAAATAAACAACCCAATTAAAAAGGGGGCAAGAGATCTGAACAGACACTTCACCAAAGAAGATATCCAGATGGCAAGTAAGCATAAGAAAAATGCTCAACATCATCTGCCATCAGGGAATTGCATGGTAAAGCAATGAGATACCCGTAAGAATGGCCAAAATCTAAAACACTGACAGCTCCAAATGCTGGCAAGGCTGTGGAGCAACAGGAGCTCTCATTCATTGCTGATGGGGATGCAAAATGGTACGGCCACTGTGGAAGACAGTTTGGCAGGTTCTTACAAAACTAAACATATTTTTACTGTATCATCTAGGAACGATGCTCCTTGATATTTACCCAAATGAGCTGAAAACTTATATCCATACAAAAACTTGCACACAAATGTTTATGGCTGCTTTACAATTGCCAAAACTTGCAAGCAACCAAGTTGTCAACCAAGATTCATTAGATGAATGTATAAATAACTGTGACATATTCTGATAGTAGAATATTATCCAGCACTGTAAAGAAATGATCTATCAAGCCATGAAAAGACATGAAGGAAAGCTAAATGCATATTACTAAGAGAAAGAAGCCAATTTGAAAAGGCTACATATTGTGTGATTCCAACTATATGACATTCTGGGAAAGGCAAAACTATGGAGACAGTAAAACGGTCAGTGGTTGCCAGGAGGTAATAGGGAGGGAAGGATGAGGAGATAGAGCACAAAGGATTTTCAGGGCAGGGAAACGTCTCCATATGATATCATAATTGTGGATACTCGTCAGGACACATTTGTCAAATCACACAGAACGTACAATGCCGAAAGTGAACCCTAATGTAAACTATGAACTTTGGGTGATGATGATGTGTCAACATAGGTTCATCAGTTGCAACAAATGTACCACCCTGGTATGGTGTATTGACAGTGGGGAAGTCTGTGGGTCTGCAGGGCAGGAGGTAAGTGGGTCATCAGCCTCAATTCACACAACCTCATGGTCCATCTAAAGTGCCAGTCATGAAACAAGGGCTTGGGAGACAGGTTCCATCCCATCCCTCTGGGGAACACAGAGGAAAAAGAAATTAGAGAAAGGGAGGGCAGGTGACAGGGCAGGTGCAGAAAAACTGTCATAAACCTCACCACAGAGCACACCTTATCCATCTTTGTGCATGACCTTGCCAGGTCTCCTCCATTCTGTACCCTGTCATGGTTTTGGGGGGTTTCTTTAGTTAAACATGGGGCTTGACACCTGTCTGTGCTGGATGTGCTGGTGATTGGACTCATGCTGTTAGTGGAGTTCATTTTGAACCTGGATTTTGTCCTTTGCTTTCGTCTTAGCTGTTGGTGATGACACTGAGTGCAAGAGGTCAAGAGTGGAGTTTGGGACCCTCTCCAGCAGGCCTTCTATTCTGTAGGGATGTCCTGGTTCTTGCTTTGTGTTGGACACCATGCCACATGTTGAGGGTGAACACACAAAGTCCCAAACTCCCTGACAGATCTCAGCCATCTCACCCTAGCAGATAGCATGATAGGCTTGTTTCACTTGCCTGGAGTGTCATCAGCACTCCGCCTCACCCTGTGGCCCCAGAGAGGCAGGATATCTTAGGCTCTAAAGACACAAAACCCTCAAAAATTGGGGATTCTTATGGGGATCTTGATGGGACTTGGGGGATTTTCAACCCTGAATACATCTGCTTGCATGCAAGGCCTCAGCTCTTCCTGGCACAGCTTCAGGCCAGACCACAGCAGTCCAGAGCAGAAGTGTCCTCCCCACATTGCAAAAGCACCCCCCAGGCCTAGTTCTTTTCCCTGGAGAGAAACAAGAGGCTCAAGTGCTACATGTGCTCCATCCCATCTCCCTTCACTCCCTGCCTGAAAGGCTCTCCTCCGGCCACACCACTCACTTAGTCTGCATTTTATCTTCCAAACCCCAGTGCCCTCCTTTTAAATGAGGCAAGAGGATCATCTCAGCCCAAGAGCTTGAAGCCATCCTGAGCAACATAACAAAACCTCATTTCTAATAAATGAAAATGAACAAATGCTTTCAGATATCACAGTGTTCTCAGCCAGGGATTTCACAAAGTATTGCTGCCATGCCAAATCTGGCCACCATGTCCTAATGTATCATGGTTTACACACTGCCCCTGGCTGTTTTCACACCGAACAGCAGGGTCAGGTCATTTTCACAGAGACTGTGAGGCCCGTGAAGCCTAAAATACTTACTCTCTGGCCCTTTGCTGACCCCTGCTCACAGCTAATCAGAATGCATCCTGAGAATCTGATTGGAGATTCCATCAGATCTAAGTGTTGCCTTGGGAAGATGGCTGAACAGTAAGAAGTCTGGGGAGTGTGACTTAGGAGGATGGTCACAGCAACGTTAGACATATAAGTTAGAAGCAGCTCTGGAAGGACCTGAGAGCACTGTGCAGACAGCAGGAAGCTGTCGTAGGTGAGGGGCAGCTGTCTGCTTCCACTGGACAGGGAAGACCCCCTTTGCCATTGCATCACTCACCCACCATACCACTTGGCATGGGGGCAGGAGTCTAACTAATTACCTGTTGAATCAATGTACCAAAAAGTCCAGTAGACATGTCTTCAGATATTCCAGCAGGTGAAAGTAAGGAGAAACACAATTTTTAAATCCATGTTGGGGAGAGCCCTAACAATCAGAATTATCCAGAAGTAGACTGGATTCATCATGAAGCCATAAGCACCTCCAGTCAGCAGAGGCCAGTGAAACTGATGGACATGACCACATAAAAAAGATGCTGAAGAATCCATTTGTGCCCTGGTGGGAAATTAACCTACATGACATCTCAGTTCTTTTCATAACTAGAAGCCTACGCCTTTACTAACTCCAGGCTTGAAAAAAAAAAAGTGCTCTATGTTTCCTATCTAAAAGCAACCCCTCAAACTTTTTTTTTTGTTTGTTTTTGTTTTTTGAGACAAGGTCTCTCTCTGCCGCCCAGAATGGGGTGCAGTGGCGCAATCCCAGCTCGCTGCAGCCTCCGCCTCCCAGGTTCACGCAATTCTCGTGCCTCAGTATCCCAAGTAGCTGGGACTACAGGCGCGTACCACCACACCCAGCTAATTTTCACATTTTTTGGTAGATACAGGGTTTCACCATGTTGCCCAGGCTGGTCATGAATTCCTGACCTCAAGTGATCTGCCTGCCTTGTCCTTCCAAACTTCTGTGGATTATAGGAGTGAGGTACCCCGCCTGGCCCCAAAAAATATTTTTTCTCCTCCTAATTAGACTTCACCTAATACAGAGCATTATCCTTATACATATTTGTTATTAGATTTATAGCTTTATTCTTAATATGTATTGCCCTGCATTAATATTTCAGAGTAAGAATTTACTTAGCATAGCTGGGGTATACACATATACCCAAGTATATTTATTCCTGCTTCATTGATTTATGCTAACCTAACTAAATATCCTAAGTAAAATTCATTAGGTATTTCCAGTATTTGATTGATGATGACACACCACGCCAATGAACTCAGAGGCGATTTCTAACTCTCCCTGATAAAGATTCAAAAATCTGAACCCCAAAGCAAAGTACAAGTACATCTTCTTATCATCTGATGATAGTAGGTACCCAATTGCCGGGCAGGGATTTAGACATCCTTGAGTCACCAGCACCAGTCACAATGTCTGCCATGCAGAGCAGGGGCCCAAACAGCATGTGATCAGCCGACAGAAAGCAACACCTTGGCACCGGCAAGGGGACTCCAGTACCTCTGCTGAAGTCTTTTGGATCCAGTGACAGACTGTAGCCGGGGAGCGTTTCCAGGAGGAGTTTGTAGCAAGCCCTCCACCCAGGCTCCGCGATGCTGGGGGCCACGCACTGCATGGCGGCCACGCGCTTGAAGAACGCAGACTTGCGATGGAAGCCGATCAGCTCATAGAGCTCAGAGAGGATGCTGTAGCGCTGAATTTTCTCTTCCTCAGAAAGCTGAAGCACAGGGAGACAGTAAAAAAGCTTTTGAAAGAAACTTGTAAGTAAAAAAAGAAACACAGGTTTAAAATGTTTCTTCATAAAACAAAGACCTGAGGAGACATAGAGGAGAGGGAAAGCCTGGCGAGCAGCGCTGGGCACGGGCCCAGGGCAGCACCGGGTGGCTCGAGACCTTCCCAGCCATCGCTGCAGATGCACCAGTCCTCCTGCTAATGCAGCTCAGATTCTCTGCTACAAAGGTACTTGCTACAGATCACACGACACCTCTATTTTAAGTTCCTTAACAAAAAAAAAAAAGAAAAGGAACAAGAGTTCATCTAGACAACAGGATTCTAACAAGGTCTTTCATCAAACACAAAAAGTCTTAAAACACAAGAATACACAGAACCATGGAACTGGGTAATGAATTGTTTACAGTAACACCACTGAAATTAGACTTAAGACTTCATAGTTTACAAAAAGTTTTCTTTCATCCAAGACCCAATTGAATCCTCCCAACAACCCTGTAGTGTAGCAATCTTCTATTTCTTCTTCTTTTTTTTTTTTTTGAGATAGAGTCTCACTCTGTCGCCCAGACTGGAGTGTGGTGGTGCAATCTTGGCTCACTGCAACTTCCACCCCACCCCCAGGTTCAGGCAATTCTCCTACCTCATCCTCCTGTGTAGCTGAGATTACAGGCAACCACCCGCATGACAGGCTAATTTCTGTGTTTTCAGTAGAGATGGGATTTCTCCATGTTGGCCAGGCTGGTCTCAAACTCCTGACCTCAGGTGATCCGCCCGCCTCGACCTCCCAAAGTGCTGGGATTACAGGTGCGAGCCACTGCACCCAGATGACAACTTCTGTTTCTTCAGTACCTACTGTATGGCAGCAGACTTAATGTACCTGATTTACTCAATGCAACCATCTGTGAGCTGGCAAATAAGGACAATAACAGCTCAGGGAGACATTAATCACCTATGGAAAATCACACAGCCAAGAAGTATCAGGGACAAGACCTGACTCTGGGCCTGGGCTCTGCCCACTGCACAGCTGCCCTCAGAGAAGAAGGAAGGCAGAGCCCACTCTGCTGCTCCAGGAGCACTGCTCAAGGAAGCGCTTCTCTCTCTCCTCTGCCCTGGACGATGACTGTTTCCCTGATGTTTCTGTGAGTAGAGAGCCTTAGCTTGAATACCCTTGCAACTTGGGTCTCCAAACCCTGCTTCCACCCCCTTTCCTTCATGCCCACTGCCATGGCCTCGCTGGGGCCCTCATCAGCCATCATCTGGAAGACAAATCAGCATCATCTTCCCACCACCTCCTCCACCTTCCTTCACCTGTCCACACACCCCTGCCAGACTCAGGTTCCTGAGACATGGCTCAGAGCCCATCACCCCAGCCATGGTTTGAATGTGCCTCCCCAAAATTCACATGTTGAAAGCCTAGCCCCCAAGGTGATGGTATTAAGATGTGGGGACTTTATGAAGTGATTGGGTCAGGAGGTGAAGCCCACAGGAATGGAATTAGTACCCTTATAAGAAGAGACCCTGGAGAGCTAACTCACCTCTTCCACCATGTGAGAACACAGAGAAAAGATGGCAGTCTATGAACAAGCAGGTGGGCCCTCCCCAGACACCAAACCTGCTGGCACCTGGATCATGGACTTCCAGCCTCTAGAACTGTGTGCAATCAGTTTCTATTGTTTACAAGCCACCCGGTCAGTGGTTTTGTTACAGCAGTCTCACCAAACTAACACAATCTCCATCTTGAAACCACTAGGGACCCCTTCAGGCTGTAAAATGGAGCTCAAATGCCTCACGGGCATACTAGGTCCTCCGCAGTGAGCTCCAGCCTGCTCTGGGAACTCGACGTCCCACTGTCTACCTATTACCTCACCAAACTGAACAACTTTAACTCATTTGTTTCTCCTTCTGTCAACGCATATTCCCTGAATGCCTACTCTGTGCCAGCCACTCTTGTGGTGGGGGATACAGAAGTGAACAAAACAGGCTAAGACCGCCACCTGGAAGGCCTCCGTGCTAATGACGGGCTAGTCCCCTGGCTTAGAATCAGTGGGGAAGATGACAATAAATCAATGAACAATGAAATAAAATCACTGCTCTAAGTCCAGTGAAATACACTTTGACCTAGAATCACGGGTGGCAGCTTGTGAGGTGGACTGCACCAGGGGACGCCGCCAGGATGCACAGGTTCTCTGCTCCTGCACTCCCTCCACTTCCACGTCTGGCTCTCCCTTCGGAGGCTCAGTTCCAAGGCCACCCTCTCCAAGAAGCTCATCTTCATGCCCTTCAGCTGGAAACTGCTGCTTCCTCCTTCCCTAACTTCTCCTAACCATGCTGGACTCCATAATGTCCTTTCTCTGTGTCTCCCATACTATTTATGTATGCATTGTATCTCTGCACTCCCACTTTCCCTAAGTGAAAGGTCATTTCACATTCACCCCAACGAGGTGTGAGAATCATCGCTGTTCTGCCTGCTCACCAGCATCTGATAATATCAGTCTTTTTTATTTTAGATGTTCTGGTGGCTTTAACTTCCATTTCCCTGAAAACCAATGATGTTGAACCTTTTTCATATGATTACTGGCCACCAGTATATTTTCCTTTGTGGAGTGCTTATTCAAATCTTCTGACAGCTTTTAAAATTAGATTGTTTGTTTTATTATTGAGTCATAGGAGTTCTGTATATATTCTGAATGCAAGTCCTTAGTTATATAGGTTTTGCAAATATTTCCTTCCAGTCTGTTGCCAATTTATTTTCCTACGGGAGTCTTAATAAGCAAAAGCATTTCATTGTGCGGTAGCTCAACTTATCAGTTTTTTCTTCTACAGTTAGTGCCTTCTGTGCTCTAATCTAAGAAAAACCTTTGCCCGAGGTCACAAAGATATTCTAAGTTTTCATCTGGAAGTTGCTGTCTAGGTCCATGGTCCATGAATATTCAAATCTGAGTAGGACACGGCCTCTCCCTTTCCAGGAGTGTGCAGTACAGCACCGGAAAGAAACCCCAGTGCAGGCGGAGAGAAGCCAGGGAGGGGTAGAGGAGGTCTGTAAAAAAGAGGCGGGGGTTGGCCAGGCACGGTGGCTCACGCCTGTAATCCCAGCACTTTGGGAGGCCAAGGCGGGCAGATCACCAGAGGTCAGGAGTTTGAGACCAGACTGATCAACATGGAGAAATCCCATCTCTACTAAAAAATACAGAATTAGCCAGGCATGCTAGTCCTGTAGTCCCAGCTACTCGGGAGGCTGAGGCAGGAAAATCGCTTGAACCTGGGGTTGTGGTGAGCCAAGATCGTGCCACTGCACTCTAGCCTGAGCAACAAGAGCGAGACTCTTGTCTCAAAAAAGAAAAAGAAAAGAAAAGAAGAGATGGGGGTACTTAATGCTTTTATCACAAAGCTGAAAATGCCCAGACCTTCAGCTGCACCCACTATGTGCCAAAAAAGATAAAAGACGTCGGGGCAGAAAAGACAAATAGTGATTTTAGCCAGTGCCCTTGAAGAGGCCACCATCTAAAATAAAGGTGACACCCAGGGAAGGTCGCATCGTTGATTCTTTCATGGAACCTATCCAAGATGAAAGGTTGTAATATTATGATCAGTAATACATTATTTCATTCCTCTTACCATTTCAGCGTAATAAGAAATCAAATTGATAAACACTACATTGCAAATGGAATCGACATCACTTCCAAGCCCCAAAACAGATCCTTAATGGGAAAAGCTTGGGCGCAACTGCTTTTGGGCACTAGGCAGACACTTGACTAAGAAGCCGCGAGCCCAGGGAGCCTCAGGACAGAGCCGTGTTAGGTCAACACAGGCACCAGGAGCCGGGGGGTACAGAACAGTCCAGGCAAAACGCCAGGCCAAGGTCCTCACAAAATCTTGAAACGAGATGAAATCCCCAAACTCATTTCCAACCTGCTGCTCTTTCAGGGACTATTAATCAGTACGTCTTTGTTCTAATTTTTCAAAAGGCTGCACAGTCACGAAGCCCGAGTTCAGGGCCCAGATGTTTATGTGAGGTTCCAATGGAAGTAGCTCAAAGGCTACTCAAGACAAGTAGCCTTACTCACAGGACAGACTCTGGGGGATCCAAATACTAATTCACTACTCCATTTCCAAGGAGAAAGTAAGTTCAGATCTTTCTTCTTCTGCTAATAAGAAATACAGTGGTAACATCCGTGGGAAACTCCAGACGCAGGACTGGTCTCGGGCAGGATGGTAAAGAGAGGAATACAGACTGGACCTGTGAAGTCCTGAGTTCCAGGGCCACACCTGCATATCCCTAAGAAATAGGGATCATCAAATCTAATTATGATTTTTGAAAAGACTAAATGAAAAAGTGCAAACACTGAGCATAAGCCTAAAACTCTCAGTGAGTGTTCAAGAAACAGAAATATCACTGTTAGTTAATGCCTTTGAAATCACAGGTTCTAACCCCAAGTTAACCAGCCAGAGAAGCTCTAGAAAATGCCTTCACCCCCATCAGCCTTCTCAAACATGGGTACTTGCGGTGATCGGAAGAACAAGGCAGTGACAGATGCTTGGGGGCAGCCTGGTGGCAGCGCTCAAGTGATGACCGTGGGAGAGTGCGGGATGGGGAGCAGCGGGCACCACACCTTCCCAGATATGGGAAAAACACTTTGCTTCTCTCGCCAGCTATTGCCAGCCATAATTACATGGAGAGAAAATATATCTTCAAAATTACACAAACTTTCCATGTGTCTATCAAAAAAGTCTGGAAAAAACATAACTTGCTTTCTCACATCCCGGAGTAGGGGTAATGAGGTATGCACCAAGGATTTTTCTTTAAAAAGCAGCTGCCTAAAGTAATTGGATCCATTTTCAGTTTTAATCATTCAAAGGTAAGAATGAAAACAAAAACTTAAATAAGACCTGGTCCCTCAAAAGTTCATGACGTAGTAGAGGAGACAAGCCCATAAATAACCACAGTGTTGGGGCCAGGCGCAGTGGCTCATGCCTGTAATCTCAGCATTT